TTTCCACCTGATCAAACAGTTTGGCGGTTTCGACATAATGTTTGGCCGCAGGTTTGTCCATTGCAGCAACAGCCGCCTAAAAACTAGGAGAAGTAAAAGCTTCTCAAACATTCATGAAACGATACAAAGCCCACCTTTCCGTTTGCAACATACTCGTTTCTTCGCCTTTTCAGAACTGCCAAAATTTTCTGCTTCTTTACATCTGCATTCTGTAAGAATAATAATACATAGTTTCAACCAAAATGACAACAATCCGAACCGTAGGCTCAGGTGGGACAGATGAAGATGAAGTACGCTCAGGGACTGGTGGAGCTTCCAATCCTGATCCTGAAGGAACATTGGGGGATGAGGAGGTTCGCTTTGGGATGGGAGGTGGTTGAAGAGAAGCGACAGTGGCGGAAGGCTGCTAAAAAATATACCTTCAATAAACAGGATCTAAAAAAAGTGAATATGTGCAACGAAGAACTTACAGCGTTACCAGACGCCGGAGCAAATGAGGGTGGAGCAGGCGGTATATCTGCTTCATCAATAACCAGTCCTCGTTCAGCTTTAGAGATCAGCTCTTTGAGTTTGTCCACGCAACGCTGATGCCTTAAGTGAAAATTTTTGAAAAATAAAATTTTAAATTCGCCAAAGATATCTGCACATATAAACTGAAAATATTCATCTATAAACCTAGTAAAGAAAGCATGGCTTGTAAATGTTTGAAATCATGAAAACTATTAGTTACGATCATGATAGTTTTTAACCAACGCCCTGCAAATAAAAAGGAAAGTAAACACTAAGATTAGGCCTTTTTCTCATTTGACGTACTTTCATTCATAACAAACGGTAATTCGGCCAAACCTTCTCTGCTTCGCAGTATTTCCTTCAGTAGTGCTTGCATTAAGCATTTTCTCGTATACAGCAAGTAGTCCACGAAGTTTTACCAACACAGCATTATCCGATGCTACAGTTTGAGCAAGCGCAGAAGGTGGAGCCGGTGGGGGAGCAGCTTCAGTTGCACTCTCTCCAACAAGACCAGATAACTCTGCCTGAGAAGACCACGATATGTAACAAAAAGACAGCTAACCATGTAGCTCTTTTCTTTAGAGTAAAAGCAACTATCAGTAGGCCAGAAAACAACTAATTTATGGGAAATTTCAATAACTGAACCTACGTGGGTTTGGATAAGTGCTGCGTTAGTTCAAGGTTTCCTGAGTTGAAAAGATATAAAAGAATGGCACTTAGGTATTTTGTAGCAAAAGTCAATAAATAAAATTTAAAATGCCTACACATAGAAAGATGCCACATCACCTAAACTTCAATTAGGATGCAATGGAGGAAGGTAGTTTTCCTGATGAAATGACGAAGACGTTTCAAATTGCACAGTTGTTTTTGGAAAAACTAACCAACAGATCAGGATCATTTTCCAGGGCACTATCATCGATTTCGACATCATCTGCAAGTGCTGCTGCCAAAATAGCTGGATCCAGTCCTAAATAAGGTACAAAATACTAACTTACTTCATTTTTAAAAAATAGAGGTGTACCAAGAGCTCCGTCAATTTTGGATTTTGGTGGTGGTGCTCTCGCAATTGGAGGAGGAAGCGCGCTACGCCTAGATATAGCTTGATTTACGCAACTTAGAAAATGATTATCCGCAGGGCGCATAATTTGAATCAAGGGTTACTGCCTACCTCTGTTTTGCTTCCTCTTCTTGTTGTAGAGCTAGCAATTCAGCAAGCAACTCCGGATCGTCCTCTACATTCCCACCATAGACTGCACGTTCAATTTCAGAGAATTCCATAAAATTAGTAGCTGGTCTCTTCCTGTTTGACACACTTTCGAAATAAGCCCTAGGCCAACTATGTGAATGGTATCCAACAAATACAGGAGGTTAACGAGGGTATAAACCCGACTGGCACGATTACTGAACCTTTACAAATTATTTATTCTCATCAAATATTTGTAGAGCAGAATAAAACATACCAGTAACATCACATCAGTTTCACTCACATATCAATTAATACTTTAAGTATCACATATTCTTTGACGGAGTGATCAGTCGAACAGCGCCTGTTGTGGCATCCACTTTCACATTTATACCCAACTCCTTTAGAAGTCTTTGACGATCAATTACTCCTGAGGGTTTCTGTAAATGAAAATGCGAATATTTAGAAGAACATATGGTATTTGCAATTGATGGAAATGGTTTTGCCAGAGGTCGATGAACCAGCAGCTATGGCTACCCATACAAGTTAAACTTGCATATTAACGTTGTGCTTCTTTCAGCAGTACTGGCAAAACGCGACAATCACTCATGCCTCGAGGGCGCAGTAGCAAACATTCGCGGAATTGAGAGATAAGAGTAGAATATAGAGAAGACGCAAACCAAACGCATTAAATGTTGATGCTGTCAAATTAATAAAGCAAATGATATTCGTTTTAAAAGAATACTTCTCCCTGCTTAGGCTGGTGTTCCTAGCAAATGGCAACAATTAAGACCTTGAGATCTTTATTAGCGCAGTTGCTGTGATTCGAGTCAAAAGCATACCTGGTCCATTTCAAGGATAAACTTCTGATTTTCAGGACATCCCATGCACAGATGCCGCAAAGCGGCTACTGACCATTGTACCTAAAATAAACTGAGCGAAGTTTGATTATAGGATCAGTTATGTTCTCTGTGACAGAAACTCAGAAAGACACATCAGTACTAATTCTCAAAATCAAGTATATAGACAAAAAGGACAATAATGTGCTCCCCTAATAAACTCACTATGAAAGGTCGGTCATTGTCTGTAAGTCGAGCGCACCGAAGCACCGCTAAAACCGCCCCTCTAGCACCTGCTGCTAGCCGAAGCGATTCCCTCTCGCAGCATAAATTCCCTGAAAAGTTTATAACATATAAATCAGAAAAAGAACAGATTCTATGGCTGTTTAGATTAGCAAATAGTTGAAACCCTTAAATGTTTGGATCTTATTTCGCTAGTTTTGATATAAGTGCATCTATGAAAAATAACCAAGAATTGTAAGACTGGTAGTGAAGACTGAAAATTTAGAATAAGGAAAAAGAAATCGCGACGGTTTAACCCAAAAACATGATGTCGCTCCGTTCTAAATGCATCACACGGATCAAAATACGTACCGATAGCTCGTACAGCAGCACACTTAAGAGTAGCCCTCAGCTCCATGGGTGAGTCATGCACTGCAGTTGACAGAGCGGTCAATTGTGGCGAGTCCTGAACCCGGTTACAACGAACTTCTGGCTGCTTCTGTGGCCTGTCAGGGTAAATTTGCTCCTGATCTTTTTGTTCTTCATTTTCGTCCAACCACTGAGCGTCGAGCACCTCAAAATCTACACTGCAATCTCACTCATTACGTTCATTTCAGGATAGTGCTTGTGTACGTACACACTCTAGAACATCTACAATGTTTTCCACAGCAGTAGGTCGATCCAGCAATTGAGACGAATACTCCTGCCCTCTCAAAGCGGCAGAGGCTAAAGTCATTTTCGAAGTGACCGATGTCACAACAATATAGAGCAAACTCTCACCCAGAATTTCTATAGAATAGGTGATCTGCTCAACATATGCTAATCTCCGCTCTAGTGCTATCCCTTCGCCAAATTCGTACAAAGCTCGTTCCAGCAAATTGACACAAAATGAAATATTATTCGGGTGGACCTAAAACAATGGATTTTTCATGGAAAAAACTTGACTTATGGGAAATCAATAGCAAATTTCGTTAACTTGAACCTTGAAATTCTATTTAGAAAATAGCGTGTTAACTTCCAAACCCTTCTATCTATAATTT